AGACAGCCACGGATGGACATGGGGTCCACCTGTCGTCGCCATTGCCCTCCAGCGCCCTCGATGCAGACGCCACCATGCTGGGGAAAGAGCTGACCTCCCAAATGAAGCTCATGGGGGACAGCGTGGCGGAGCCTGTCTGGCTGAATCGCACTTTCCTGCACTCTGCGAAGGTCTGCGGCGAAGGGGCTATGGAATTGGAGGACATTCCTTTCACGTCGCCTTTAGCGCAGTCTCCAGGGCACTACAAAACAGTCCTGTTTTCAAGCTCAAGCTCAGTGTTAAATCTTCTGTCTTTGAACAAGAAACCGAGCGGGGATACAAATTCAGCAGTTCTTAAGGGATCTCTCAAAAACCTCTTTGATCATCCCAGCATTTTCTTAGTCTCAATCCCCGAACATAAAAGTAGAGGTATCCCAAAGGCTAGCGAGAGAAAGATCCCCCACCTAGTTCATGAGCCAATGCCGGACATTGGCTGCGCGGTGAATTCTTCTCAGATCAAGAGTCGCAGACAGAATGAAAGCGAGTGCAAGTCATCAGCTAAGGGCAGTTTCACATTCCTGACACCGGCCAAAATAAACGGGTCACTGGGGAGAGCACCAGCATGGCATGGCAGTATTGTCAGAAAGGACATGAATGCCCAGCCCTGGGATTTCAGAGGAGCGGGAGATCTCTCGCTTATCCACTGCACAGCTGGGGAGGAGGCTGGAGTTAACAGCCAGCTGTTTCAGTGTCTCGCCAGGCACCAAACTCTTGTCAGTCAAGCAAGCCAGATACAAAAACGCCTGCAGACCCTTCTCGGGGAGCATGCAGCAACGCACTGCAGTGAACAGCTTCAAGGGCTCAGAGCACATCACTTCAGAACACACACAGCCTCCAGCTCAGCTGCAACTGAGCACACTTGTAGCCTTTTAGAAGAAAACTCCTTTGATCTTTCAGAAGCGGAGACGCGTCTGTGGAACGGCCTCAGCTGTTCCCATCCCAATCAGACGACTTCCATGCCCTCTAACTGTTCTTCAGAGATCCAGAAATTTACCCACTATGCTAAAGCAGTGCTGTCTGGAATCAGTGAGGTACTGGATTCTGAAGCCACAGACAGCAGTTCAGATGAAGAATGGGACCACGAAATAGGGACAAAGAATGTGCCAGTGTAAGTAATAGGTACTAATGAAGGTTTGCATTGTTATAAAGACATTTCTGTTTCTTTTCTATGTGTAATAATGCTGGGTTTGAGTTTTCTGAAGGTGTAATCTCTGTGTCCTGTAATGTATGGTTTGTCTTCCTAAACGATCAACGATCTGAGTGCATTCTACATGTCTAGAATGGCTTTGCTGTTGATAGGCAGTTTGTTTTGAGCATTTAGGTAACACAGGTACAGTAATTGCCTTATCTGAGCCACAGCGGTTCATCAGGTCAGAGCGCCTCCTGGTTTCTGTGGCCTTAAGAGGACTAGAGAGCACATGACTCCTCTCCTTAATGGGACAGCAGTCCATCACAGTGATCACCCCTCAGGAGTTCTGGTCCCTGCTTATACAACGGGGTGGACTGGAGCAGTTGGGGTAAAATACTGTACTTCACACAAGGTAAAACAACAGTCTCTGCAGGGGGAGACCCAAAAGCACAACCCATCGTGCTATACTGCCCCTGGTTAGGGAAACAAAAGAACAAAACTTATTCTGCATATTCTCCAATTGCTAGTGATGTCCATCCACCCACCCATCTATTTTCAAACTTCTTCATCCTATTCAGGGAAGTGGGGGAACCAGAGCCTTTCCTAACAAGGCAGGGTACACTCTGGATGGGACGCCAGCAGCTCACAGTGTTAATCATTTATCGATATATATTCACTATATGTACTGTATAAGTAACATACTAAAGAAAGAAAATTTACTTCTTAAAAAGAAGGGACTACTAGAAAAAGCTCATTTTTCATGCTGAAGTTTTGCCCGTCATGTGTAATGACATTTCATGGGTGATTTCTGATCAGGAGAGTACTTTTGAAACATAAACAGCCAAAGCAGTGCTTTTGGAGCTGATTAATAGAAGAAGCTGAGACAATTTTTCTTTGTTTCGGAGAGGACATTTCTTATTGTAACATTACCAAAAACCTAAGCCAGTATTATCAGTTCAATAAAAGAGTGGCACAGCAAACTGGAAAGAAAATGTTTGAAATTACATCTCTTTTGATATGATTTTGGCCTTTTTTCCTCTTTCATGTCTGAGAACAAAGGAGTGTTATTGTACTGTGGGGTAGCCGGGTTTTTTCACAAGGTTATGTCTGCTGAAGAGTCATCATCCCATGCCTGCTTGCCTTCCTCAATTGCCTCTTCAAAGGCTAACTTAGGTTTGATTGAACTATCCCTGATTGAATGCTAAAAAAACATTTTTTTTTTCCTGAAACTGTGTTTCAGTTTTATGTTTCAGTACATGTATATGCGAGGTGAATCTGGGATCTGTCAAAAGAAAAACCCAACCATTTTAAAATTTAACCTTTATTGGCTTGTAATTTGCAGTCACGTTTTACAGCTTAATAGATATTCTTTGTAAGTTATTATAAAGACCTTCTCTTGCATATAAAGAACAGGGAAGAGGGCTTGGGGGCACAAGTGAAGCCCTTTGGACTGGTAGAGAATGAAGAAATGCAGGAAGGGCTTTCCAGTGCTCAGTTCACACTGACTGGACAGGGTGGGGACACTGCTGTCATGTCTAATTCTTCTCATTCTCCTTTCGGTTTTTCTTTGCCTACGTTAGTTTTCCTTTGGACACATTAGAACATCTAGTTTCCTTCTCCCAACAATTTTACTCTTATTGTTATCTGTTGCCCCCTTAGGTGAAATTGTTCTCATATGGTTGATATCTCTCTAGATTCTGCTTCGATTCATTCTAGCCCTGATAATCTTGCATCTTGTTGATTTTATCATTCACATTGATTCCAGGTCTTCTCTTGGTTTTGACTTTCTTTCTTGTGTTGTCTACTTTGTTCTTGCTTGTTCGCCTGCCTACACGTTCAAAGCAAATGTTCGATTTTCTAATCCTGCCTGGTTTTGAACTTGCTGATGTCTCTAATAAAGAGTACTCTCTCATTCCCTCATCTATCTTATCATTTTCGCATTGTAGCTGATATCAAACCGTCAGCGAGATAAGAAACACTACAGTCACAGTAGTCTTACTCCGTTCATATCTTTTTCTCGTCTCTCTTCCTCCTATGTGTGTGGTAGTACCTCTCCTTCCTGGTAGGACATACTGTGTTGTTGCTTCATAACTTTTCGTTGACAGGTATAGATTAATCTCAGCTTGCCTTAGTACACACCTGAATTGGCCTCTGGCCATAAATGATAAAAAAGAGGCCTCTTACTGTTCTTAGAATTGCTTTTTCAGGCAATCTTAGGCTACCAGTAAGCTCTCTCTGTGGCCCAGATGAGATGCTGTATTGTTCCCACACCTGCAACATCTTCTGAAACCACTGAACTTCTCTTGAAATTAACTTCTCCCACCTGTCATCTTGAGTCCTTGTATAAAAATCCTGTTCACTTTGTGTAGGAATGTACCATTGCTCTTGCAACAAATGTAACACATCAGTTTCATTCATACTTAAGATGCCCACTCTGGATTCCACTGTTTTGTTTCATTTTTCTCAAGTTGCATTCTTCCACTTTTATCCAAGGTGCTTGTATGAGGTGTTGCCAATCAGCTGTTACAATATTTGATACTAGTCTCCTTGAGTGCACCTTGAAAGCTGATCGTATAGTTCTCTAATATTATCTTTTTAAAATGTTTAGGTCTTTCTGGATTTTCTCATTCCTGGATGAGTTCCTGTCTGTCTGCTCACTGTATTATTTCCTGGTGAAAACTCCATGTAAAACCAGCTTGATTTAGCTTTTTCTCAGAGTTCTCCTGTCGGCTCTTTGCTGTTCTTGACCATAAAAAGTCATCTGCACATCCTTTATTCCATTCCTATGCTGATGATTTTTCAAAGAATTTCCTTCATCAGCACGGACCAACCTGTCTAATTGCTTGAAAGCTGAGGCCTGACTGCCTGCCAGTGTAATTCAGGAACAATTTCTTAGTTGTAAGGTCCCACTCTCAACCTAAAAACTCCATTTCCTTTCCTTTTTTATTTGAGGGAACTGTTGCCAGGTGTCTTTTCACTGAAATCAAAGTTAGCTTACTTTGAATCCCAAATATTCATCCTTAGTGAAATATATTTTTTTACTACTTCCATGATAAGAAAATCTGACTTTATCTGATGCTGAGAGTCTTTGCCATGCTTTTGTTTCCTCCCATCTGGACTATAGCAGTTCACTTTTCTTTGACCTTCTGACATGTGCTTTCAATAGGCTTCAAATGATATGGAAGGTAGCTGCTAGAAGCTTTACTAGAAGCAATAGTCATGATCATATTACTCCTTACTTTGTCTGACTTCCTCGATACCCGTGAAAATAATTTACAGGTCCCTTCAAAACTCCACAAACACCTGTGCATTGTATTGTTGCGTTATGGTCCTATACACAGCTGGTGATTCTCTGGTTCTGGCCTATTTGTTATTCTGAGGTCAAAACCTGTTTTACTTGGCACCTATTCCTTTAGCTCTGTTGCTCCTACTGTCTGGAATTCTTCTCCCACTTGTATTTATCATTTTCCTACACTTTGTTTGCTCATGTCCAGATTAAAACCTCAACATTTTTCATTTGCCTTCTCCAAAGTGTCAGAGTTAATGCTAGTCTAATGGACTTCTGGTTTTGTATTCTTATACTTTGCATACCCCTGTGAATGGACAATTCTGTGCTCTTAGATACAGTACATACTGTATATAAATGTATACTGGATTTACCTTTCCAATTTTTACTTGAGAAAAAGTATTACATAGGGATCCTTTGTTCCACAACAGTGAAATAACAAATGCTGTCCTTCTAACATGATTCGTTTTTTTCCTTTTTCTACCGTTAGCCTGTTTATTTAAAAAATAATATTGTCCTCTTGAACATTAAAATAAAGTAACAAACGTAACTTTTTAAGTACATATTTTTGTAATATTCATAATAAAAGTGGCGGAATTGATTTTCAGCAACTTTTTGAAACTATCTCCTACAAATCTACTGTAGATCAGTCTACAAAGAAATCATTGATATTACAATATATCTTATAAATCATGTTACCAGTATATTACAAACCAATATATTACAAGTGCCATAGCAAATTTTACTAATGCAGCAGTGCTCTAGTTCAGATCACACTCTTTTTAGTCATTTGGTACAAAGCAATTTATAGGTACTAGTGATTTAGAAATCCCATTCCTAAAATCAGATGGACTGTGAATTCCTATTCTTCCTGGAATCAAGCTGATAGCTGCAGCTGTAGGAATCTCATCCTCAGCTTTGGGATTTGTATGTCTTTTAATTTTCTGGTGCTGCAGTGGCCTCTCATGAAGGCCCTCGATGGATATCAGGAAACAACATATTCAAAGTGTTTGAATTTCCTGGGCAGAGTACTGTAAATAAACCAAGAAATATAATACTCTCCTACATAAGAGGAGAATATCAAACATAGCGAGCTGTGGGGGTTTTGTTTGCAGTTTTTTTCTGATGACAGCGGTCTAGCGGACCGCAGCTGAAACATTGTTAGTTGGAAAAATAGGATGAAACTTATTATTCTTGCTGTTTCTCTAATGGAGATTTAGTTTCCGACCTCAAGGCTATGGAAAGACCAGGAGCATTGCTATTTTTGCATCAAATGAGTGTGTTATTGAGCACTATTACTTAATATTAAGTAATCTTTTTTTTTGTCAGTTTCAGCCTGTGAGAGGATGTTAGAATGGCTAAGGTTAGCTAGGCTTGAGAAATGACTATAAACCTCCTGGGATCTCATTCCATTGCCAGGTTACTGAACCTTTCCTCCTGGAATGCCCTTGTGACAGGCATGGCATTTCTTTACAATGGAAATGGCTTTGGAACTTTCCAACCCTTACAATAACAATACATGAAAGGTAAAAGTCCAGCTATTTATAGACTTTTGAAAAGGGGCATGATTGGGATTTTCTGGAATTAGCCAGAGATCATTGCCATTCTTTAAGTTTTTAATTAATTCATTGTAACTGTTTAAAGAATTGTTTCAATATATTTTGTTTTAAGGTGAGATGCTGTATGATAACGCATTGTCAAATCCTTAAACATTTTTTCAAAGTCGGCTCCTACTATTTTGGCAGTGGATTTGAGAGAAGCCTTTTCTTTTTTAAGACACATTCTTTATTAGACGAGTAGGCCTGCAGTGCAGTTTCAGACGTGAAAGCAACATGGGAGTGTGATCATGTGGCAAGCAGAGTGAACATGTAGGGACTTGTGCAATATCTGCAATACTGCCAGTTCCTTCCAGGCTGAATAATGTGGGAATCATTCCTTCCATTTTCCATCAGAGAGATTGAATGTGATAAATACTGACAAAATTTATAAGAACCAAATTACTGTACTTCAACTGAGGTTATAAGTGCAAGCACTAATGATTCAAGACCTGTCAGAGATAAAAGTTCTTTGTGGGGGGAAGAAAGGCTTTCTACATGTATACAGACATATAAAACTAGCAACACTATTTATCTTTTTGTTTTTGCTTCTTTTTTCCATGTTGCACACTTCTAGAACTTGGACATTAATTGTTATTACAGGGCATTACAACTTGTTTCAAACCTTGTTTAGATGTTAATTTAGTCTTTAGTCCAGTGCCAAAGACGATGGCCTCTATCTCAGCCTTCAGAGCTTTCTGGTTATGTTTCTGGCGTATTGAATGGCTGCACTGTAAATATTGCTGGTATTTTCTTAATTAGTGTGCCAGGATCAGAAGGAGTACCAGGTATTGTATAGCTTCAAGGGATAGTGTTGGTGCTTTGGGAATTAGCATACATCATGGAATTAAATTCCTGAAACCTTCCTAGATTCTGCATGTCATGCCCTGTTTACTGTAATACAGTAACACTGTTTTGTTACCAAAGTATTTTGCTGTCTAGTGAAAAAGAGGTTTTGTCCATTTTTATTATTCTCTGCAGCTAAAAACGTGGAGCTACAGTAGGTATTTTGGCTGCTTGTTTTTAGTCCAAAAAACTTCCTCACATTGATTTGTGGCAACAGGTACTAACAGTGACTAACACTATAGGAGAGCAGCTACAGTGACTAACAACGTAGGAGACCAGTGCTGTGCTCTTATCTTGGTGCTGTTGCAGTACTGGTTTAGTCTTATGATTTATTAAGCAAAGTTCTGGCGTGCACAATATTGGGGGAAACTGCGAAAGCAAGATTAGTAAAATTGAAAGTAATGCATTAAAAAGACTAATGTCTTGTGCCAATATTAGAAGTCCATAGGCAACTGAAGCTCAGTTGATACACAAACATATATGTGAATAATTCTTCCCTGTTTTTATGTACCATATAATTATTTTAATCTAGATCTTAAATATGGGTTTGAGTTTTAAAATTAAGAACCCATATAGAAATGGTATATTTAAGCTGCAGGACCCATACAGTGTGAGAATATATGCGCAAGAGATTATACTGTTCTAACTTAATTTACTTCTTAAATCTCTTCTTTACAGATACATGTCTTCTTTTATTGAGGGAAGCTTTAAGATGAGTTCAATAGCCTGTGGTTTTAAAGAGTTCTCACTGGCCTGCCTAGATAACCTTTCCATGTTTGTTTGAAGTGAGCAGCTCGGGAATTCCCAAGGTCGCAGTCAAACACTATGGTAACTGGTGCATGAAACTGCTAGCAGAAGGTTACCAGAAAAGACAGTGTAATTGGGAGCTCCATGGAAACATGCTGTAATTTACAAATCATTTATTTGTTCTACAGACTGTACCCATTTACCTGAGTAAGTGAAATGCGAGGTTTCTGCATCGTATTCCAGGCTTTGCTGTTAAACATCTCCGAAAGTTTATCTTTAAAAATAATTTAGTAACATTCTAAAAATGCTAATAGCAAGCTAAATATTGAAACTGGAAATAGAGAAACGAGGTGTGTAATCCTTAAGGTTTAAATGCTATACGTAAGAAAAATATGACAGAAACAGCTCACCGTTTGACAGACAGTGAAGAGGGTTTCAGTTTTATGAGGTTACTTATACTTTTTGATTTAACTATATTGCCAGTAATTTTATGTCTTCAACACGGTGCAGAAAAAAATGCAAAGCCAATTCATTGCAGACACGATTTTCTGAATTATTTAATTGCCTTCACAATCTCGGTATAAAGTTTCCCTTGTAATTATGTGGTGTCATTTAGCTGTTAATGAATCATATTTAAGTTGACATAAAGCTGGATTGAAAATGCTCATATCCAAATCTTTCTTTACAAGTATTAATTTAAGTTTACTAGAGAATAGCTTTCTGATATATTAATAATCCATGACTTATGCAGTTTTTATATCGTTGGGGAGTCCCGGTGCTTGTTTGAAAAGAAAATAATACAGTACAATAGCAAGTGTGTGCTTTTTAGTAAATCATGCCTTCCAGGGACACCGAGCAATTCAGCCGTGGAATAGTAATAAACTCCCTGAAAAGTCACAGCCTTCTGTAGATCAGTCAGGTTTGACACGAAAACGGATGAGGATGCAATCCGACAAGCAGAGCTGAGACAAGAGCCTTAGCAATGAATGGAAACGTCCCTCCAGGTTTCATTCTTTATATTGTTGTTTCACACCCTTTAAGTGGTTTTTCAAAAATCAGAGGAGGGGTGCGACTTATAGGAAACTTTTGCCTTCATATTTCAATTGAAGGCGGTGTATCGTGAATAGCTGTTAAATGGTAATTGGGCTGAGTTAGTTGAAAAAAATTGGATTTTTATGTATATGAATCATACATACTTCACAGTGAATCATAATTTAATTGATCGAATACATTTTCATATAATTATTTAAATGTATGCACATTATGGACATATTGATGCTATGCAAATTAAAGTCTAATTTCCTATATAAAATCCAAGGTTGGATCACTGTTTCTGATCATAGCCTAACACGTAATGGGGATAACGAATTGTAAATGTACAACTACTGCACAATCCAGGTTTAGTGAGGCTAAAGGCTCATTTAAATGTAAATTGAATAGCTTTGGTAATGAAAGCATACAAATGTCTTTCATGTTGAATAACACTACAGAGACTTGCTGATGATAAGTACAGGCAATGACAATGGCTTCTTTTGTGTTCAGATCTTTAAGGCTTTTTTTCCCTCTGACATCAAGGGAGCGCACAACCTTTTTCAGAAACTTGATGTGCTGCAAGTACGTTTAAAATTTGTTAATTAAAAGTAAAAGCATGGAAATTTTTGGAAATATATCATTATAGGCTAAGCTTCAAATCAGATAAGAGACTATTGGTAGTCTTCCATTTGTTGACTGATTTGTAATTTATAGTTTTTAATTGGAACAAAATACTGGTAAAAGTTTTAATGCGGTTATTACAAATGACAATTACTTCAGCAAATAGCCTAAATCTATGCTGTTTCCTTCTAGCAGAGATAGATAAGTAGAAATTAACCTCATTATTTTACTATTCTTTCATGCACCTTGCACCAACGTCTGGGGCGCATGAACATAAGTGACAGTTGTCTATCTCTACAGAAGGTTTGCCTACAAAATGTGAATATAAGGTGTTTTCTGTATACAGTGCTAAAATAGTATATGAAAGATGAATGAATGATGATGAAAGATGGAAACAAGCCTTTAATACTTTACAGATAGGACTTGGGTAAAAAGTGTTACATGTCATTTTATTTCATGCATCGTTCTTCATCACTTAATTGTTTAATTGTAAAAATTTTTCATATTTATTCTTATCTATCTGTTATCAGAATGATGCTTATTCCTGGTAATGAAAACCCATGTGCACATGAGAGCATGCAAACTCCACGTAGAAGTTGCTCAAGTCCTAATTATATCTCCAGTCCTAATCTTCACACCACCATTCCGCCTTCTTATGAAATATGTATATTGTTACTTTTATTTCTACATCAAGCTTTTTTTATTTAAAAAAAAATATCCAGAATATTGAACTCTTCCAGCCTTGCCCCATGTGCTTTCAACAACGCTGAAAATCTTTCCACCGGAGAATAGAATTGGATGTGTAATCTTCAAGAAGTAGGAGGAGAGGAGATGATAATTACTGTGCTTCACACTTCGGAGCGTGATTGCTCTCAGACGGGCTGCAAAGGCAGAGGCCACGATCAGCGTGACCGAATTCACTGCGGTACACTAACAATCACTGCTATAATTACGCCAAAATATGACATGCATTATGTCTTTATGATGCTCCTCCAGTGTGAATGTGACTTCATGATCCCTCAATAACCACCCCAGCCTTCTGTACCACCCAGTAATCACAGAGTGCACTTTTCTGCCCGTGTCTTTTCTTGTTTGTAATTTCAGTTTACTGTGATTACAGTTATTCAACAAGTTGTACAGAGTGATTTCTGTTTCCAGTTTTTTGTAGTGTTCTTCTGTTTCCCCCTCCCCCACAGTAGTCCCAGTTGTGAACAGAGATGGCTTATAGACAGATCTGAAATTAGCAGCCGTTGGACATGGCTTCAAGCCAGAATATCCGAACTGGAATATAAAATCCAGCAACTTGGTGACCTCCACCGGCAAATACTCTCTTCAAAGGTACAGTTACTTACGGATTGTAAAACAGACAATGCTTTTAACACCAAAGACATTATCATATGAAGCCAAATATTTAATTAAAATTGCATTGTTTTTTTAATTTTTAGAAATACTGAAAAGTCTACATTTTATTAGTTTAATAGATCTGACTGGATTCTTAGCAATACACACTTCCTATTTTACTTTTCTTGACTATATAAATATACAAGAAAGTTTATGTTATTAAATCTGTTAAGTAATTTCAACCATAATGTAAAAAAGGAAATGTTTTTTTTGTCAGATACAGTACATTAAATTTATATATTGGGCTGTTTTTCCTTGTAGACAACGTTTTCTCAAAATAAGTTTTCGGTTTTCATCATTTCTCACAAAAGCACCTCCTTTAATGGTTTAATGATTACCTTGGTAGGGCATTTTCATTGTCAACTTCCTCATTTCTGAGTGGCAATAATGTTTGCAGTGAAGATTAATTAATCTGTTTCTTTACCTATTTGTGTGAATGTGTTACTCTAGGGGAAAGTAATCCTGGCGGACTCGCAGCCCTTAACAGACAGGCTGATTCAGCAGATGCTATTGACAGAAACCGCAGATCTGTTGAGCACAGCCAGAGACAATAAAGCCCCTGCAGAGGTAAAGGATTTGTCTTCAGAACTAGATTTTGAAATGGAACCGAGCAGCCCGACTCATCTTCTGAGAAATATAGAGAGACAGGTAAGCCTTAACAGATTACAGTGCTATAGGATGTACACTAATCAGTTTGTAGGTGTCAGCATTATGTTTTCTATTTGCTAATAGCTGAAGTTCAGTCTCTGCTTTTCTCATTAAACTGAAATTGGGTTTCAACCATGAATAGATTGTACTGGAAGGCTAGCAATGCTTCTGAGAATTTGATTTGAGACCACCCATGTTGAAAGACCACCTGCCTACATAAGTAGTGGCCACCTTTAGTAATTCCTGTACCTGTACTATACAGTACTTTTCATACATAATAATCACATCTGTAGCTTTTCTTAATTGAGGCTGATTTTGACATTTTATTGTGTTGTAAAATTGTACAGCTATTACAAATGGAAAAGAAAAGGCAATATACAGTAGAAGGCTGTACATCTTTCTACCTACAATCCCCTGTAACTGAAGTATAGCTGCCTTCAACAGTATACTTTTGAGTTTCTCATCAAGTAATTAAAGAAAACATCCATTTTCATTTGTTGAAATAATTGAAAACAATCAAAACAAAACTATTGATTTTTACTGCTGAGATATCCTAATTGTGGAAAGTATTTTACTTTCTCTTTTTAGTTGTTTAATTATCTGACATACAGAAAAGCTGCTATTTTGACCTAAAGTTAACACTTTAGAAGTGTTAACTTTAGGTCAAAGTTTGTGCTAGACAAAGCATGAATGCTAAGGACACAAAATTACAAGATGCTACAATCAGGTATTAATTGGGGAAAAAGTCAACATTTAGTATTATTAATTTTTGTCCAGCTGGATGTGACCAAGTGACTGATCCAGCAAAAGCGTTTTTGGAGCTCAGTCTGAATTTTCAGAGTAGGCTGTGTTATTGCTTCCTGACCTGGATTTTGCAGTCTTGGCTACAATTAGCCAGGGTGTTGTCAGATAGCTGAAGTGTTGCATGTGGTTTGGTACCTGTAATATTGTATTAGATCAGTTCTTCATCCCCTCTGTCTTCATACAGAACTCACTTTTGAGCTGAACTGATGAAAAATAAAAATAATGACTGATTCTTTATTAAAAAAATGCATTTATGCTGACAATCATATTTTACCTTTCCTTTTCCATTACATACATATATATATTTCAATATATATATTTCTGCCAACAGAGCGCCCAGCTAACAGAAATAGTCAACAGTCTGATGCCTCCTTTAAATTTCTCTCCCACTTCATCTCCGGTCTCCAAAGCAAGCAGATGGAAAGGTCAGACAAAGTGGGGCTCTCACAGGTATGAAACAAGGGACAATTGCTGAAAATGTAAAGAAATGTTGATTGTGTGAAGTGTGATTATATTAAACAATTTCGTACCATTATGTTCTATAGGCGTTTTGTTCAACAGCTGTTGCAAGCTTGTAATTGTGCTACTATAAGGTCTACGTTATTATCTTTGATACAAAAAATTATTTATGCTTTCTCTCACCTCCTGTTTTGTATAGTATTTGGCTCTTACAAATGTTCCATGTTATTTCATGTGGCGAAAGCAGAGTGGAATGTAGTAAAATATGGAAATCATGACAATACCATAGCTAGGCATACAGAAGAACACTAAAATATGATACAATTGTGGAAAAACAATGGGATAGCTTTAAGAATCTGGTGTATATTTGCCATGTAGACTTTCAGTGGTATGTGCATGTCACTTGTTTTTTTCTTAGAGAAAAATATTCTAATTTGTTTCTGTGTTTTTGCACTTTCTGTTGCTTAGACATTGATAGAACATTTCACTTATGACTTGGTGAAAGATTACCATACCGTAGGATACCTGAATAATGTTTCTAAAGCACATTGATATTTAGACTATACACTTCAAATTACATACTGGAACTTCAGCTATGTCTGAATTGTTCCTCCTGCCTTAAATATTTGTGCAGCTAGTTTTTATTTTCTGCACAGCAGAGTGATTTCATTGAGTAAACCTAGTGACTTTTTTAAAGCATAAGCCAAGAGTAGCAGCCGGGCAAATCTCATTTAGAAAAGGTCATTGTGTCGGCAGTGATCTTCGAATGAGCCTGGACAAGTCACTGCACAACTAGTCTCTAAGCTCAGCAAATGGAAAGGCCAGGGAGTAAAAATCATGGGATTTTAAGCTATTTTGAAATAATATAACATTTAGTGCTCTGTTATAAAATTATGTTACCTACTGTAACTGTGAGGCATAAGGTATTCATAACTATTGGTGCTGCTTATTATTGTTTTTATATGCATGTATTTTGATATTAGATTGCCCAGAACATTGTGTTTGTAGTACTCGTACCCTCATTATCTCTGCAGGTTTAAAAAAAAATAGCTTTAATGGTTTTCTGTGTGTTTCAATACATTGCTAATTCTACACTTATAGGCAGGTAAAAATATGTGTAGAAGGCTCCACGGCTGAAAATTGTGTTGTTCTTCTGTCTCTAATTTTCTGTGTAGAAGTAACCTCTACTTATTCCTTTGCAACTCTCATGCTGACGCAGCTCCCCACTTGAACCTCTCAAGAATATTTTTGTCTCCTGTTGATTTTTGTTCTGATTAACACGATTATAAGCTTTGGGGGTTGTGATGAAGCCCTGAGTCCCCTTTTCCCCTGTTTACCCTTTCAGTCTGCTTGGGTTGCTGCAGTAACAGCCTCTTGGTATGAAGCCGTTATTGTGCTTGCTGTTCTTGGCACTATACTATAGAGTCTTTCTCAGCACGGCTGACTGCCAGGACCCACTCATTTCAAAGGCTCTGTCTCTACCGCTGTGTACCCCTATACATAAAACTTCATTTAATTTTGAATTCCTTAATCAGTGGAATAGTGATACCTGTGAACAAAGATTGAATGATCTTCTCATTGATTTGATGTTGGCACTTGCTTCTAATTTTTAAAGTAATTTTGTTTGCGCTTTCCTTAAACGTATTCAAGAAATATAACTTTTTTTGTTTAATGTGCGCTTGCTTCATTTTGCAGTGAAACTGGAAATGGAGAACTGTTCCTTCAGAACAGCACTTGTGTCGCTCCTGAGCATACTGCGAAGAAGAGAAGGGTCTGCAAAAGAAAACAGAAACTCCCACACATGAGCAACACATGGGTATCTGCGAGAACTCGCCCCCTCCAGACTTACCACAGGCGCAGACTCTTTGTGTTAGATACGCCTTGGCATTCCAGCCAAGAGGTCTGTATTATACTCTGTATCTTCACATTTTCATTCTCTTCCCTGTCCCACAAGTAATGAGTTCACTGAAGAAATAATAAAGAAGAGACTGTTTATTGCATATTTCTTAACAGAGGTAATTGAACTGTCAAAAACCAGAGAGTTTAATGGCAGGTACTGTAATGTACTTGTGTGCGATGTAACAGGAAATGTAAAAAAATCTCTTAAAATGTCATGCTAAAAAAAGAACACAGAGCAAGAAAGCTCAAAATAAGATGTATATTCTAAAAGAGATTTTTCATAAAGTAATAACTTCCAGTATGGCAGAACTGTGTTAAATGGCATTACAAGGAGTTGAGTAGATAGGTTTAATGCAAATGGTAATGTTCACATTGATGTCGCCAGGTGTGATATGATAAACAGTCATAATTGGAACAGTAGTGAATTGATACTCTCACAACACTCCTCACAAGCTGAAATCACATAGCAGAGAGTAAAACCTCTGTTTACAGGGGTTCTTAGCTTAGTTATCTGTGCTGCTAGTGCATGTAAAGAATGTTGGGAAAATGCCAGCACCCCTACAGACATGTTTAACTGTGTGGGCAGTCATTTCCTTCCACCTGACTGCCCTCAGCCTAGACGCTGTTAATTGTTAGTTTACCTAAGCTGAATTCCTTTGGGGTAAAGTAAAGCAAATGTTTATGCTATTATGAATGGAAAAAGGTTGAAAATCTGGGCTAAACAAAATTAATAATTGAAGTTCAGTTTAATACTTCATTTGAGGGGAAAAACTGAGGGACATTTATAAACCAAATTGAACTGTAAAATTTGAAAGATTTTGACTTATTCCTTCAACATAAAATATAAAAAAAGATATATATTTTTAGTCCAGTTTTTTTTTTCTAGTTCAAAAAGTTTGGGGATTTCTTTAGTTTACAGTGGCTATCAAAATTATTCACCCCCTAGGTCTATTCACATTTTACTGTGTTACAAACTCTATAATGTAAAAGTGAAAACAAAATTCTACAGATCCTCCTAAATTAAATATAAATATAAAATGGAAAATAAGTGATTGCATATGTATTCACCCCTTTACTATGACACACCTAAATAGGCTCTGGTGCAACCAAATGTCTTTAGAAGTTGCATAAGTTGTTGAATGGAGCCCACCTGTGTGCAATTAGGGTGTTTCAGGTGAGGTCAGTATAAACATACATATCATTGGGTGGTTCCACGGTTAATAAGTACAGCTCCAAACAAAAACTACATCATGAAGACAAAGGACCTTTCAAAGTAAATCTGGAATAAAGTTATTGAAAAGCTCCAATCAGAATGACATATTCTCCAAAGTACAGTAAAGTCCATTATAAAGAAATGTAGAAAATATGGCACAACTGTGAAGAACAGGGCGTCCATAGAAACTGAATTTCCAGGCAAGAAGTACACTAGTCAGGGAGTCCACAAAGAGGCGTTCGACAATTTCCTGTGTGCCTCACAGATTTGGGCTTCATTGAGAGTGACAAAAAGTCACATCAGATGTTGACTACACTTTGCCAGAAAGCATGTGGGAAATTCTGAGACCAAGTGGAAGAAGATTCTATGGTCTGATGAGACAAAAATGGACCCTTTAGACCTTAAAGGTAAGCGCTATATTTGGTGCAAGCAAGCATAACAGTGAAAACCATCCTGAGAACACCATGCCTACTGTGAAGCGTGATAGCAGTATCATGCTATGGGGATGCTTTGCTCATTAGGTCCAGGATGACTTGTAAAGATAGAAGAAAAGATTGATGCAGCAAAATACAGAGAAATCCATGTGAATACCTGCTGCAGTCTTCAAGAGACATGGGACTTGGGAAAAGATTCATCTTCCAGTACAACAATAACCCAAAACGTTCAGCCAAAGCCACACTGGAGTTGTTTAAAAAGAAAAAAGTCAATGTTCTGGAGTGGTCCGGACCGCAGTCCAATTAAGAATCTGTGGCAGGAGCTGAAAATTGCTGTTCACCGACAGTTCCCACATAATCTGAAAGTGTCTGAGGAATTTTACAAACAAGAATGGGCCAAAATTGCAGTGTCTAAATGTTGGGGAAACCAATCCAAGAAGAGTTATGGCTATAATTTCTACCAGTTGTACCTCTACCAAATACTGACTCAAAGGGAATACATATGCAGTCAGTTATTTTTTGTTTTATATTTACTGTATAATTAATTTCGAATTTTATTTTCACTCTGACATTAAACATTAAGTTTAATTCTTTGATTTGATTCTGTCAATCAGTAGCAAAAACTCTCAGTTTTGTAACAAAAAAAAAATGTAAAAAGACCAAGGAGGGTGAGTACTTTTGACAGCAACTGTATAATCTTATAGAAAAGTACAAATGTAAATTATTTATTACTGAAGCATTAAGAAGTATGGTCTTGTCATAAACACATAATATACTGTCTACATACTCGTGTTCTATAAAACTACATTTGAGATGCAACATGTGGAAGGAATAGGCATGAGTTAAATTATGAAGCATTGCTGTGTATTTCATTGGAATAATGGAAATCTGGTCGTCATCTATGAAGATCACCTACACAGCACTGTGTGAATTTCATTTGTGTTATAGCTCTGGATATGCAATTGTTAATGCATGAGAGGGCCTTGCTATAATTCTTTGAATCTAAAAACAGTCTAGCAGACAGTAAAATGAATAGATCCTAATGAATCCCAGAGTGTTCTGTGTGACATGAAGTCTTTTTCAGAGGGGAAACTAATTGTCTTGTTATTTGCAAGAATATAATTCAGTGGTGGAAGTGCGTCATTCCAAAATCAACATGCAGCATTGTTAAGCATCCTCGCTGTGAAACATGAACACCCACAACATTCAGATAATCCAGTTGCATTGGCAGGAAAGATTCTTCATGGTTAAACTTGTACCATAACTGGACATTTTTATGTTATTTTGCACAGTCATCTTGGACAGGACAGACAAAACATTCTAAAAAAATAACCACAGGAAGGAAGTCTTTTAAGTACCTGCCACAAGAGTTTTGGAAAAGTAAAAATTATGCTTTTTGATCATGCCAATCTTTATTTGGGTTTATCCAGTCACTGCATAAATACTCATGTGAAAAATCTGTAATGCTTCATAATAGGAACACCTATAATGCGTGTATTGCTACTTTATTCGTGAAACAGCCTGTTCAGTGATGATAAACACCTATTACATGCCTTAACAGCGAAACATGTAGGGTGTATGCACTGTATGTCACTGTTTGCTGAAGAGAGGTAGTACATACCAACACACATATTTTCAACATTTGTTAAGTATTTTTAATGCATATTAAGTACATAACTTAATTAAGTTTGTCTGTTTGGTAGTATTTCATTAAAATGTCTTACAGATATATCCTACAAGGTGTTCTTTAAATCTTAATGTGGGATTTTGTTAATTGAAGTACATAATATGCTGACAAATGGCAGGCATTAGGTGGGTTTTCTTATTCAAAAAGCTTATTCAGTTATATTGTTGATGTAAGTGTTATAGTATATAAGACTGACTCCATTTTGTGAATGGTATTTCATACTCTTTTTCTGTTAGCTCGAAAAGCTTGAAAAAGTAAAAAAAAATATTACTTTCTATGTTCTATAATTGATCTGTTTCATTGTTCATTATCGAATATGCCATTGCAGGGACAGATGCCTACAACTGCTGCATGTCAGTGCTACAGTTCCTGTGATCACCCAGCAGTGTGCTCCAAGTCGGCATGCGTCAGGGAGTCCGTGATAACTAGAATGACAAAGACAGAACAAATGGGGCTGCTGGAGTCGTCCTTCCATCCTGTACTGTCACTGTCCTCAGGTACAGTGGTTCCCTTTCCAGGTGTCTTTCAAGACATGATGGCCTTTTAGCGTTTTAGAACTCTTGTGCTGATACAAAAAAAAACACACCTTCTCTGGGGAGCAAGAAATTAAGGTATAACATCAGGAAAAAGCTGTAAAACTCACAAATACTGATGCGAGAGACCTACCACTTACAGTACATGCCGCAAAAGAGTCTTTATTGCAATGACACATACTGTAGGTGTCAAAACCTGCATAGATATAAAGAGTCTTGCTGATGTGCTTAGTTTATAGCTGAATTACTGATAGACGTAAGAGGTTGTAATCTTGTTTTTATTTTCATAGCATGGCTTCTGTTTCCTGCAATTCACTCTTTTAAATGTACCTGTTCCTGTTCTGGGTTTCAGGGCATGTTTATATGCAACCATGGCAACCAAATGTTATTCACTGCTACTGGTTTCATCTAATGAGTCTTGTAAAAACAAGAGTGCTTGAGTTTAAAACACTATTTATGAAAAAACAGCTAGATCGTGCTAGAGAACATTTCAGAGAGCCCAATACATTCATTTGTATTTAGTGGAAAGCTCAAATACTTAACATTTGTAACATTTTTGCTTCACTTTACATGCAAATGCAAGACAAACGTTGTTTCAACTAATAAGGAAAGTATAATTTTCCAAGCAAATGATTGTACAAAACAAATAAGAGTACAAAAAACAAAATGTGAGCATTTCACCTTTTGACCTTAATTGATCTCTTTATTTTCACTAGACAGAACATGGGGAGGTGTTTTGCCACGAAAACAGGAAAAATGAGAGAAGCACAGATCATACAAATATGCAATGTGCTGAAGGTAGCAGCTGCTGAAAAGGCTTTTGCGTTTATAAGAAACTGTGTTCGTTCACAACAAACATAACAACAAACTCTAAAATGAAAGCAGACGGGTGATAACTGAAATCCGAATGATCAAAATTAGTTAAAAAAAAGGAACTGTTTAAAAAATGACAAGGTATGCTTTTACAGCTACATGTTATGGAAGTTTTTAATATTTTCAACACAAGGTTAAGGATTTTGTAGCCAGATCGTAATGAAAGTTACTTCCACAGTAACTTAGAAATTGTTAGAAAATTATATCAAACCCACATTATATAGTCTTTATACAGTAGTGGTATATTATTTTCATGTACCTGTGCACTATACACTATTTGTATTGCTAAATATTTTGTTTTTAAAAAATAGCAAATGTGCAGTTGCTTATTGTCATCTAACAGTCTAGAATATCAAGAATAACCATGATTTTTTAAATCACTTTCTTTTTTATTAAAAAATGGGTAATTAATTTGAGTATTTATTATTCATTTATTTTTGCCTTCTCAGCTCTCCCTTTTTCCAGGTAGTTTAGAATTAGTGTACTGAGAAAATCGCAACGGAACACAGTCTTGCAGCCTTCCACACTGCAGAGGGTTACTCTTTTTTCACTCAAGATGGTGTGCAGGAACAACCGATTTCCCATGGATTGTTAAGATTTTGAGTCTGAATACACTAAGATTGTACATCTGCTCTTGCAAATGCCCTGTTCTGTTCCTTGGGGGTTTTGTAAATGTTTGGTTTACAGAGGCAAGGCCACATTCATCTCAACTCGCATGGTTTGCTTATTTGTTTTTGTTTTGTAGATATTCCCATTCCGCTCCATTTTCAGGCAGTATTGCATCATGAAGACTGGGTGAACCGCCCAGTTGCTGTGAATCCAGTTGAGAAAGAGGACATTAGTTCTCCAGATTTCACCAGCTGTGAAAACACATATCCTGATTTCTTTCCATTACTCGGTATGCAGTATTTCTGTGAAGGGGATTTAAGAAATAGCTAATCTATATTACATTACCTCTTGTGTAATAGAATTAATGGCCAGTTGGTTTCATTTTATATTTAAAATGATTTAATTGTCTTTAAATGCTGCTTTATTAATAAACTGGAATATAAATTGACATAAAGGGCCATTTTAAATAGAAATATTTATCAAAAAAGCTTTAGTTTGAATACACTTTACTCTTATTCTGTTTGTAATGTTCCATATGATCTTCAAACGTCAAATGCCACTATTCATATTGTTTTTATTATGAGAAATTATATTGACAGGACATATAATTACAATTTTATTGCTATTTACTGTATATGTTGTCTTCTTAGTCTTTAAATATAGTTCAGTGTTATGAAAGATTTAGAAAGGTTTATGGATAAATATGTTTTAGTACTGTAAATGTGTGGCAAAAGAAGGAAGAAAATGCAGTGATACACCAAAGGCAGATAGTGTGAATGCTTATGTTCCCAGGACACACAAGACTACTGTGTTCAATGTAATTGAAGAACCAATCTCTTTGCTCAAGCTTTCCAGCTCTGCAGCTGTTGCACAAGATTACAATAAGAATTCAATTACATCAGCCCAGTACTTCAGATACATTCTTTTATTAAGGTTAAGAGTTTCACAAACAGAAAAAGAGGTTATAACCTTCACCTTGAGTCATAGCCAATATCTCAAGATATTTAGAAAATCTAAAGGAAATTATCTTGTTTCTTGTTCTTAAGCTTTTCTTCCATTTCGGTATTTGAGGACCAGGCTTGGAGTAGAACAATAATCTCTTATCAATTTCTGGCCACAATCTTTTCTTGCTTTTCTGACATTATTTGGTAAAGGTGAAGGGAGCAATGACAATCAATTTGGCATTTTTACTCTGTCTGTTTTTAAATCTTCTTCATACAGATTGTGACCATATTGAGAATCACCATTCAGAACTTCAGAAGGAAGAATACTGGGATTTATCACCAGCCCATACAACAAGAGCAGGTCAGGAAATGTCAAAACACACAGGCAGAGGAGGCAAGAAAAGGAGACATACCAGTCAGACAGGAGAAGGTAACTGAGTGTTTTGCTGAATGTCCTTTTCACATGTTTCTAATGCACTTCATTTTTTTATATTGATGGAAACTTTAGCTGAGGTTTCACTTCACATCTCAAAGTTACATAAGTAAGAAATTCTAGTCTAGAAATTCGAGATCTCTAGGGCTAAATTAATTGATATTTTTAATTTCCTGGAACTTCAGGTGCGTCTAGAGTGAAGTCATATAAAAATGACTCATTCTGGACCTCCAACAAATATCAGAATGGCAGGATTGACTGCACACGACAGGTTATTGACACTTCAAATTAGAATATAAGAAGAACATAAGAGAAGTTACGAGAGGAGGCTATGTTGCCCACCTACCCTGTTTGGTACTTAGTAGTTAATTCACACAGGGATCCCATCCAGATGTTTCTTGAAAGGAGACAGGTTATCACCTTCAACAACATAGCTGAGTAGCTTGTTTCATACTTTCACAGAATTCTGTTGTAGTACTCCAGTCCTGTCAAAATGTGTTCTTGTAGCTGTCCACTTTGTTATATAGTAATTATAGGTGAGATTAGTTTGCTTTAGTAAAACTTCAATTGTAATCAAAACCCACTTTGAACAATTCTTTAGTGTCTGGATTCTAAAGACAACAAATACCAAATACAGAAAAATGTATGTTTTTTTCACTTCTTTCATAGTGCTGTTATACTTTTAGAATTTGGATAGGTTAAATTGTTTTTCATCTTACCATCAGAGGAATGTGTAAATGCTCTAGTAGTGGTGTGTGTTGAAATAAGCATTGTGCCCACATTTATCTTTGTGTTGCAGATGAAAAACTTTTCCTGTCCCAACTATTGGATACCTCATGTTACTTTACGCCCACTCCTGAAGAAAGTCCTTCAGATCTCGCAACATCCTCACAGGGTCACAGACATTCTGGACAGGTAGTGTGGCAGCAGTAGAATTCCTTGATGTCTGTTTCCAGATGATCTGCATTCCTTCGTATGATTAGGAAAAGCATTTTGCTGAACATAAGTAGTATTTTATCAGTTCCAGAAATGTAATTAATTTGTCTGGGACTCTTTTGACCTTCATAGAATGTCTAAAATTAAACGTGACATCTAGTAGCCAGCCAGGTATCTTTAATTACAAATAGTCTAGATGTACACATTTTTTTAAAAAAGTACATTTATTATATAGAATATACTTAAATGCTGAGAAATACTGTAAGCTTCACTGTTATATCAATAGTCAATCAACAAGGTGCCATTATAAGAAGTAATTACCAAAAGGTTTTCAGTATTTTTGTAATTGCTTACATTTTTATGAAAGAAAAGTGTTGGAACCAACATCAGAATTGTTGATTAATTAATCATTATCATTTTGTTCATGTTGGTGGGGGATTTGGCATTGGAGGGTTCATTTGAAAGCTGCAGTAAATATGAGTGAAAAGTGACCATATGTGTAGTTATTAAATAGTGCATTACTATCCTTATGTTTACATAGTTCTCGTATGAGGTTACTGATCACTCCTACAACAAGTAGTTCACTACCACTTGTTTGCAATCATAGTTTTAGTGCTTGGCTCTGTACATTTGCTGTGGAGCAGTCGGTATCTGTTTGCCTTCAAATGTGTATTACTAACATAAGCACAGTTCAGAAACAGCAGCTGGATATTATAATTGCATTAAAAAAAACATTTTTTAAGTTGATATATTTTTTCTGCTTCCTCAGAGCAGTTTTCAGCTCATGTATTTTAAGACTTCCTCCAAATGCAGTGCTGCACTTTGTAACAAGTAGGAACTATTCATGCCAGAATTCCTGCCTTTTTTCTATTCAACTATTAAAGATATTTTATGATTATTCTAAAATTGACCAAATATTTTACATAATTGTAGCTTGAGGCTGTATTAATGTTTGTGAATCCGAAATTGATGGATATGCTAAGAAATGTCGATATTTAAAGTGACAAATGGGATCGTTTTCATTGAAAGAACTAATATTCCTATGTTATAGTACCATTAGTTTAATATATTATACTTGCTCAGTTACTGTGTATCAGTATCAGCGAATATACCTGGATAATCAGCATCTGTTAGTAGTAAGAAAATCATCACGCCTCTCTTAACATATGCTTGTAATTGCATGTGTTAATTGTGACTGACCAAATGCTCTCTTAACCGTTCCGAATAATACTCTCTTAGAACTCTGCCAGGAGGCGTCTGCGAACTGAGTGTTTCTACGACATCGACAACATCGTTATTCCAATGTCATTGGCTGCAACCACTAAAGTAGAGAAACTTCAATATAAGGATATTCTTACTCCAAGGTATGCTTTAGCTGGTTATTATAATCAGTTATAATAGTAATTCTAATCTAATAAGGGGAAAAGAGACGATAATTACTTCCTAGGAATTTATTTCTGAAATGAAAAAATACAAACATTGCCTTGTGTCAGCAACAGCATTGGTTGTCATGCGAAATGTCTTTGGAATTCAGCTCATATATTGAAAGTTGCTTTAAATAGAAAATCTTAATTTAGACTTACACATCTAAAAGATGGAAGAATGAGAACCCACCACTATTTAGTTTTACATTTTATTAAAACAAAGTTAACTGCCCTGGCGGTTATCAGAAAGTAATGGGTTATCATAGTTTTAACCAAAAACCTTTCATTCATGACTGTTAAACAAATGCCTAGTGGAATTTGTATTTTGAGTTTAATACATGCATATTACAATTTATACCTTGTACAATTCGCTCTTTATCTATGCCTACAGAGTAATATTAAAACACATTTTGTTGCAAGGAAGCAATTCTGGCATTCCACGTAAACTACTTGATCTGGTAATTGTTTCTGGTCCTTAAAGTTCACTTTAAATATTGGGCACTTTGATTTAATGTGAAATGCGCATGATGAAGCAGCTTAAGGCTTACTTTCTGACGGTAGCTTCCTTCCTATATTGTCTGTAGCAGGTTATAAAGAAGGTGGTGTTCGATATTATTTGCTTAGAAAGTCATATAGTTTTATTTGTTGTTGTTTCTAACCAGCTGGCGAGTTGTTGACACTCAGTGCTGGGAGAAAAAACAAGGGGAAATGGAAGAGGTATGGACTTGACACTGAAAATTAGTTCCAGTATGTATTGAATTAATAAAAGTTTGAATTGTTTTTAAATACTGACTGTATGATGATTAACATCTAAAATATTAAAAATTCTCAAAGATTAGAAATGATTACAAATGTACTGTTTAAGGAGATGGTGTTAGCAAGGTATTGTACATGAATGATAATTAGAATCTAGAACTGAATGTGTTTGAGGAATATGACTTAAACCGAGGACCTAAACAATGTGTTTCTAAACATCTTTTTAGCAGAACAAGTGTAAAGGTTCACAGTAACTAGATACATCGGTGGGACCATTACTTTTACTTCTACTTTACTACTCTGAACCTTCCCAAGAATATTCTTTACACAATGGGCATTGTCATTTGCCAGATTTTTTTGCCAGAAACAAGATTAATAGGCTTCTTTTCTGGCTGATAATTGATCATTTTGTTGAAATGGTTCATTAGGCTTTTGCTTTTGGGCTTGCAGATAGAAGAGTTTTCCGATGAGGCCATTTCCTCCAGGCATATGAAATATGAGGAGAAGGAGAAGGCCAGGTGGTCTTCCTGGGAGCATAACAGGTGGCAAAGGAGAAACACCAGGCAGGTGGACTGACGCACACTGGATAGACATTCCTTATTCATGCACAGTGAATTTCATATTGATTCAAATCGCCAGAGTTTGACTGCAAGCTGTATGTTCTCCAGTTTTTGCCTTTTGTAAAAGTCTAAAAGTCTAAAAGTGTTCTAACATCTAGATGCCTTTAAAATATGAGAAAACCATAACAATGCAAAGGTGAATCATATTTATGGGATGTGTCTTCATCCAAAAGTCTCTCCTGCTTCTAAACATTATTTACATTGCCTTTGTGTGTGTGACGGCTAATCCACATGGGCTAATAGTCACATTTCGTCAGTACTGCCATAGTGAGATGTAATGGGTAAAGCTTCGAAGCAAAGAATGTCTTTCTCAAAGGAAAAGAACTTTGGTGGTTCAGAGGTTTTAAATGATGGGCTTTGTCTCTCATTGCAGATTGTCCAGCAGAAATGCTGACTTATCTCTGAGTGGTGATCAGGCATTATGGGCTGGCAGGGCCCAGAGTGAGATGTCCAAACAGGCAGGAAGAGCCTGTTACAGTACAGCAGCAGCAACTGCGGGCATTGAGGACAGCCAGCAGGAGCACACAGTAAGGGCACCTGCACCTAGTGTGGTTTCCCCCTTTCCAGGGTGTTAGAGGAAGTGACTGCTGGGCTAGTGTGCTATGCTAGCTGGCAACATAGGAGCTATGTCATCATCTGGGCAGGAGGGGGTTTGTTTGGATAAAATGACATGAAAATATTTCTATACAGAGTCATAAAAAACAGATTAACTGTCAAATTAACAAGCAAATACCCATCTTAAAATTAAGTGAATTTAAATTAAATGATATTGCCATCTCTTTCTTCCAAAGCGGTGATCATTATGATTCATTTGTTTTTAGCTGAATCTTTTATTCAAACACAATTTACAGTTGTGCTCATTTACATATCTGAGCATTTTCACTGAAATAATCTAACAGAAATACAGTACCTTGCTCAGAAATACTATTGCTCTGCTCCAAGAAGTCATTAAAACACTACTCTTACTCTCGTAATTCACTTTCAGTCTGCTTTGTTTTTGGTTCGGAATATTAGGTCTAGTAAATGTTGTTTATGGCTTTGTGTAGCTACGGCTCTTAATTTATTAATATCTAAATTATTATGTTTAATATAATCGAATCGGGTTTGCAACTTGACTTAATTATAATGTAAAATTAAATTACGCTCTTAAAATATATGCATTAAAAAATAACTTGTGATGACTGAGTGCAATTTAGGACAACAGCGTGCTCATCAGCTAAAAGAAAAATATTTTTTAGCAATCAAACGGAGGTCTGCCATCAGTTGTTTGTAATTTGTGATTTGCAGATGGGTCAGTATTTCGGTTTAACTTGATGGTATGTACATTTAATTGACATCATTGCTCCAAACAGCTATGGACACATTAAACCTCCTTTTTAACGTGATATTTCATGATCATTTTTCCATTCACTGATGAATTCGTTTGAAGGCCGATTTGCTACCTCCCGATTAGTTTGATTCATTTTCAAGTTGCTTTTTTCTGTCAGAGGTTTCCACTTTTCAGCTGATGCTCTCTACAGCATGTGCTGCATGAGGGCATTGAGAGGCGTCTCTTATGTAAGTCAGCCTCCACTTACATGGGTGTCAACAGCCAGCTGCAGTCCAGCTGTTTTCCCTTCACGTATTTTGGATTCCTTAGCTGTGAACATATCAACAGGCTCACTTTTGTTTCATCCAGCACATGTGCTATACTGGAGCACTGAGAAATACCATATCTTTATCCTCAGCTATTTTAGTGACTTTGTGATGTTATTTCCTGTTGCTTACATTATCTTAAAATACTGGGAAGCAGAAATGCATTCCGATACGTCTCCTAACAAAATCTGGTTTCATGCTGGAAATATGAATGATGTCTAGAGTCCTACGGTTTGGCTTCCCACCAGTAGGAAATACTTATGCTGGAAACATAGTATACTCTCCAGGTCTGCTACATAACTGGTGATGAGGATAATCTATCATTAAACATATTTCTGGACAAAACTGTTGCAGTGCTTGCCTTATATTAAAAAGCCTTTTCAGGAAATGTAAAAGGATTTACTGTTCCCCACTGTCAACACTGATACGCTGAACTAAACAGACTGTAATATTTGTTACAAGGCAAAAGATACATATTTTAGTAAGCTTTAATATAAATCTTTTCCATTTTTTAAAGCTCATACTTCCATGGGAAAGAAGAGTATTTCCTCTACAGGAACACGATGCTGAGGCATTAAAACCTGAAAGAGATGTGGATCCTCTTGAGAATCTTCTGCATTGTCAAAGGCCAGAGTCCTGCAATTCAGACAGCAAGGCATCTGGTTCCACTCCAGCCTCTGGTGGAATTGGAACTATCACACCCTCTGCTGGACACCCTGGGAACAGCCCTAAGGAGGAACAGAGTGCTTGCTCATTAAATAGCTGATGGATTTAGTGCTTGGATTGATACTTGCAATCTCTTAGCCGAACATATATAGGTTACAGGTGAGCACTATGAAATACTTTGTGGTGTTATTCAATTTACATATGTTTTTAATCTGACTGTATTTTTCTTTGTGATGGACTGGTGTCCCGTCCAGGGTGTATCCTGCCTTGAGCCCATTGCTTGCTGGGACAAGCTCCCCTGTGGCCCTGTAATGGATAAAGCCGTTAGAAAGTGGATGGGTGGATATTTTTGTATTTGGAATATAATTAAAGAATTAAACTGTCCTAGTAAAATGAGGGAAAAATTTGGATGTGAATTTGTTTTTTATTATATTTGGATACAAAGTTAGCAAGATTGTAAACATTTGAATGGAAATAGTTAGATTTTTGGCTATATAGGATATATATAAAAGACAAATGCAATGGAAAAAACAGTTTGACACAGGATTTTATTCAAAAGTAATAGTAGAGTATTATCTAAAAAGATAATACTGATCGTAAATAATAAAGTGCAAAGCCTTTTTCTGGCAAAGCTTTTTCCTAGCTGCAGCTTATTATCTTGACAGTACGGCCCTTGTAAAGCTTCCTGTGAATGCTGACTGGTAAAGAAATATAATTAAATAAAATATTGTGCCTTCTGACTTTTCTGGTAATTCCATATAGATATACAGTACATTATATCTTATGTGCATTCTGTGTCAGACCTGTGTCGCCTATCGTTTCAGGTATGTTATATACAATATACTTCCTATTTACTAGAGTAAATTCAATTTGAATAAATTGTATTATTTTTTTACATATTGCTGAATGTGCAGATGATATTGATTTGTTCCTCCTTAAAAGCTCCTTAAAGGTGTATTACTTCCCAGGGTCCTCGAAGTCCTTGGGACTGTGGAAGAGATGTCATCCCAGTTGGCAACTCCTGAACTAAACTGGAACCAGAGGCTACCAGAGGCACTGTGGTCATACTCCATGTTCATTTTCATTTTCAATGTTTTCTGTTTTCTTAGATCAGCTGCAGAGCTTACTTGTTATGAGAACATTGTGAAGAAACTTTTATAGTAAATGGTCTTTTATATTGCAACATCTTTTGTTTTTAACAGGACTGTTAAAATTCTGTATTAAAAAAAACATTGTCATCTGTTGTGAAAGACCATTCTTTTAAGGAGACATCTTAGTTAAGATGTTCTACATTTCATGGAGTGGACAGGATAGCTGAAAAAAGTATGACAATGTCTTAAGTCTAGCAGACCAAAAAGTTTATACTGTAATTGGATTACTTATAGAAAGAACTACATCCTGGTAAAGGATTTATGTATTTTAGATCATATTAATGTTATTATCGGAGAACCAGTCTGTAATGAGACAGAAAAGATTTCCAGACTTTATTTTTTTTAATAATATATTCTCATTCATCACATTGATACACTGTCAAATGGAGCTGCTGTTTTATTTTCACAAAATAAATACTGTAAGTTGTTTATAAAGTTTTGTATTTGTAAAGGTTGTATTCTGAGATATGTTATAGTGCTGTGATGAATAGAAGATTTAATTAAGAATAAATTCTTAAATCTCTCAGTTTTAATGTTGGAAAATAAATTGGTGTATTACCTCCATTATGTTTTTCCCAGAATTAACTGGAGACCAGATTCACTGGAGAACTGAGATCTGTATTCATGTCACAAATTCCAACTTTTCTTTCAGTTGCAGTACTGTGCACAGATTGCTGTTGTCTGATGCAGCCTTGAACAGATCTGAGCTGTGCTTTAAACTGACCTGCTTTTTAGTTAAGATAAGATCACTTTATTGGCCATATACAATTTCTTATATTAGGAATTTGTCTTTTCACATAACCCAACTTGCTCTCCATGAGACACACAGTCACACAGACAGGGCCAGGGAGAGATCTTATGTGTTGTACATACAGTAGAAGTGGAGATTTCAGATGTTTTTCATATTTGGCAATAGGAGTCTGCGATAAGAGCATTTAGCATTGAGGGTATTATAGAACTGAATTTGTAATGAGTGTGATTCTGTTCAGGGCATAATTAGTATATTATTTGGAGTTTTGGGGCTGACAAAGGCATAGTTTAGGCAGGGAAATAATTATGTTTTCTGCACAAATCACTAAATGAAAAGGCAGTATGTGATATGTGAAGACAGACTATGATTGTTGCTCTTTTTCAGGCTTTTCTATGAAAACTGCTGGGGATACTGGTAATGTAAAATGTACGCTTGTGCCCAAGTTGTCATACCCTTTCACTTGTCAACATTGCATGAGTGGCTCTTCACAGTGCTCAAGGCAAAACTCCCTGGCACAATAAATCCCCAGAGTGCCCATGTGTTATAAGGGCCATTTCTGAAAAACTACAAATGCTTTAGGTAGGTGTCAGAATACAAATTCTAATGTCTCCTGTATGAGAGATTATTGTAGAAGGTTCAGTAATAATACATCCATCCATTTTCTAACCTCTTCTTCTAATTCACAGTAGTAGGAATACTAACACAATTCAAAGCAATTTTAAGACGACAGAAACTACAGCTGTACAGTACAAACCTATTCCTTAAACATATTATGTTGTGATTATTTTAGACCAGTGTAGGTACATAAAGACATTTTCATCAGATTAATAAATGATGTTTAAAAGTTTAAAATAACCCTTAGCAGTGATTCTTACATTTCATTATGACGTTCTTAAATCAAATCCATAAGGGAAGGCAGCTGTTTGATTGTCCCAGGACCTCGATTTTAGCCGGCATGTCCTGCTTTTTAATTGTTGTATCATTTTTGTCCTGTTTTTCATGAGTGCCTATGCTTGGCCACAGGCACCATCACAATTAAACACATTTATTTGTTCCGGTTCTATACTATTTCCTATTGCAGAGCTCAACGTGTGTATGGAATTCTGTGTTAAAACAGAGTTCATCCCCACAGAGAACAGGCCTTCCTCAGGGGCTATGGACCCTTGTTCGGGCTCACTACTGCTTACACCACCTTCACAAAGCTGGTACTGTAGCTTCAAGGAAGAGGAGTTATTCAAAGGAGCAGCAGCTGCTTCTCGTGTTCCTTCGCAAGAAGATTAAATCTTGGAGTTACAGAACACATTTAATCCACATGGTGGGGCTGTGGTGTCAATCCTGATTTCAAGAGCTGCGTGTGGAGAAATTAAAATTGCAGTCTTGCATTTTTTTAAAAGCTTTTAACTTGATCAAAAAGTAGCACACAGTCTTTACGCAATGGGAATGGGGTTTAGTGTTTTGTTTCTACATGAATTTACTTACTGTAGCTATGCTTCATTGTCATAACACAAAACACTCTTGTTTCAAGCTCAGATCCATAAAATAGATGCGTAGACTGACTGGAACCCACAACAGTTCCAAGAAAGCTGTTTCATTGATAACCAAATGGTCCCAGTGGGAATACAGCTGCAATCCTAAGCTTATCTAGATCAACATGCAAAAGCAGCCAAGATAATGCACTGAATTTCAAGGGCAAGGGAAACTAAATTTAGTTTCCATTGGCCTCAGAATGACTCATTCAGACTGCCTTACTGCTGTAGTTTATGAAACCTTGTAAGTACAGGTTCATGAAACACGGTAACATTAAATAAAGAAAAACATTAATTAATAATTGAGTGCACTAGTGCTAAACAACCTCACAAAGTATTTTCTCTCACACTGTTTATCTCAGGCTTATAAATTGTGGCTGTGTGAGATGTGCAGAGCTGGCAAACCCTCTTAATCATTTGTATACCCTAGTGGTGCAGCATGCTTTGATATGCTCTATTCAGGCATCCCTGCCCTATTTACACATGCTGGTAAAGTTGACTTCAATGGGAGATGAGTTAAAAGCAGAAAAGAGACTGTGAATTTTATCAGTGCGGTCAGGATATGGGTAAAAACATTTGACAAATATGCTAATTAACTGCTTTGCCCTTTACTGCAATCCCCCTGACTACTCCACCTTATTTAAGATTCAATGTGGTCGATTTTTTATTTCAGCCAGGATATTGCATTTGCCTTGATGTTTTCTCTTTAAAAATCACATCTTTTCTTTTGTGAATTATCCGTTTGACTAAGATTTCTCATAGTCATGTTTTTAGTTCATAATTAAATAACACTTCATGATTATTCAATATTTCACTGTCATACAATTGCTGGTAATGGGTTATAATGTGTTGATGTGCTCTAATGTGCAATGATGGCAGTGGCACTCTTTGATACAGCAGTGTTTTATATATATTAAAAGTAATGTATTTTTACTGCAGTCTCTGGAGGCACTGTCTGTCATGGGATTCAGATACATTATTGATTATATCTGATGCAATAGCTCATTAGCCTAGAAAAATTAGAATGAGTCATCAGGCTGTTACATTCCTGCCCTGTTATTCCCTGATCTCAGATCACTCTTTCTCTTACTTTGGACATTTTGATGGCTACTCATTACATTTGTCTTGAAGAAGGCAAGAGAGTGACTTTTTCCCCTTCTTTAAGATAGAAAATTAACTTTTTAAAGCACAGTAGCATTCCAGAAATAGATCAAGATTTGGTGACACTTTGCATAGTCATCACCAGACTACAAGACAGTTCAGTAACAGTAGAATGCACAGAAGTTGTTTTTATGATCACTGCTCAGTCATAAAAAATAATAATGATGTTCAGAAAATGGCGAGTAGTGGGTTTCCTGAAGTCTTGTATTTACACCTAGTGTTTTGGTTTTTTAACCCTATGTTCTGAAAACATGGCCACACACATTGGGAATCAAAACCTCAATGGCCACTGACAGCCTGAGGAATATAGAGCTGAAGCAAGTCAATCTGACAAAACACAGGGCATAGTAACCATATTAGGAACACTGCTAACCTGTTAATTAATTGCTAACATTGTTAATTCTGTTTTTTTTATTAACCCCAACATTAGCAATCTCATCAGAAGTCACTAGCCAAGCCAGGCTCGGCCTAGGCAGAGCTGGAATGGGAATTTTCCAAGGAAAAACCAGGTGGCTTTTGTACGTTTTGCTTGTGGACCATTAGAAGACCCTCTTACCTACAGTATGGACCGTCCATCCATTTTCGAACTGCTTGTATTTAGGCTTGTGTGGGAGCAGGAGTCTATCCCAACAGGCATCAGGCACATGGCAGGACACACCCTGGACAGGACACCAGTCCATCGCAGGGCACAGACAAACACGCACACACTCACCGACTCAGGGCCAATTTTCCCTATAAACCAATAAACCTAGAGTATGTCTTTGGATTGTGAGAGGAAACCGGAGCACTTGGGGGAAACCCACGTGAACACAGATGTCATCCCAGATCTGGCACTGAACCCAAGTCCCCAGCACTGCAAGGCAGCAATGCTGACCACTGTGTCACTGTGCTGATCCCGCTGGAGCAGAATTTCCAAATTAATGTCTCAGTATAGTGACTGAGGGAACGGTAGTGTAGGAGAAGCTGCCCTTCGGATGAGGTCCTGACTTCTCGGCTATTAATGATACCATAGCAGTGTTCACAACTATAGGGGTGCTAGCTCAGGTTTCCTGGCTGAATTCCAGTCTGGGCTTGCACAATCTGACCTCCCTCATGCTCCCCCTTATTTCAGCTGGTGAAGTAAATTCTCTAACCCTAACCCTACCTGATCCTCAGTGTAGTGATAATGGCCCAACCCAGGTGAGTGCAGCACTACGGACGTTGGTGCCCTGCTGTATGTGAAGCAATCTGAGATGCTTTGGGATGCAAAGCACCATATAAATGCAATTAATTTTTATGGTTTGTGAAGTGTATGGATGAAGGTGCTGGTGTACCGTCTTTGCTCAAGCTCTTGAGACCTTGTTAACCAGACCTTTTTACTTTTGTGGATGCTTGTGATGGCATGGCCAAGAGGACCTTTGCACATGAACTACACTTGAGACTGATGCAAACCATTTTCCATCTTTATTTACTAGTACTAACGAAGAAGAAGACCTCAATAGAGACAACATCTTAACAACAGTAGGCTGGATACCACCACCTCGCTCTGATTTAAGCCTTTCAGCTACTTAATGAACTTCCTAGTCTCTTGACTTGCCCGGTGAGCAAAAACAAAATCTTATGCTGTATATATCCAAATCAAACACTCATGTGAAAATCTGCACAATCCCCACCATTACTCAATCGAATCTTTAGTGTCCGGGGGACAATTTAGGTGCCCTCTCGTAGCATATCCATTGACATTACAGCCCTTTCTGCCACATGCCTGGCAATCTCCATTAGGAAAAGAAAGGTAATTCAGTGATATTAAATGCAGGCAGCTGTGATGTGGGGAGCTGAGCTAAAATTCCCATTCCATTTCTATGCAGTTAACTGAAGGGGCTGCACTGATGCCTGACCTGGCGTCTCCCTGTAAATACCCCAGCAAGAGCTGCTTCTGTAGCCATAGCAATGAGCAGACTCTTCAGTGTGCGAAACGTTCCCCCCTCCCTCCCCTGGCTGAACAGTGTGTAAAAGAGAGAGAGAGTCATTAAACCCCCCCGTCACACACAACCCCCACCTCCTTCCCTCTTCCATCGGAGAGCAGCGTCACATCTTTCGATTTGTGTTCAAGTCACTGTGTGCGGCACCCACTCCCCCCTTGGAGAAGAAGAG